GGCACCCACTCCTTCTTGACCTGGATGGGGTCAAGCAAAAGGTGGAGAGACGGCCCAGGGCCCTGCAGGGCCTTTGGGCTTTTCCCCGTGGAGTCAAGGTTGCTGGGACTTTAGTGTGCAGTAAAGTCACTCTCTGAGCTGTTATAAATGTGGGCTCCCAGGCCCCCAGAGACCCCCTTTCAGCAAGTTTGATGTGGGGCCGGGGATGGAAGCTGCACCTTTGGAAAACGCCCTGGTGCAAGCCCTGTCTGAACTGAGAGGGCGGCCTAGAAATTCCCGCGGCCAGAAGAGCAGACATTTGTTTTGAGAAGGAAGGAGTTGCCTACAGCAGGCAGAAGGGTCCCTGAGTTGCATATCTCAGGGGTCTATTCTCTTGGGCAAAGCTGTGCGTCCCTAACCTAAGAGAGGAATGTGGAACTCACCCTGTAGGGGCAGTGTGAGGAACTTGGTTTCATTCCCACTCTCCCCTCACTCTCTTCTGAGCCGCTGGGTTTAACACCAGGATTGAGCCTCTCCTGGCAGGGCCACAGTCAGAGCCACCTCAAAAGGCTGCCCCCTAGGAACTGACTACCCTTCAGGCTTCTAGCTGGGATTTAGCCTCAGCCCCCACTCCAGGCCAAGAAGGGCTCTGGATCTCCCCCAGAGGAGGGCCAGCTGCAGCCCCACACTGCAGGGGAGCCAAACACCTGGGCACACACGCGCCCACAATATTTAATATTGCTTCCTTAGCCTTGATGTGTATAATAAGCTTGGGAAAGCAGTGTTGTGAATATGTTGTCAGTTATGAATGGGGATGCTCTGTGAATGATTAAGATGTCTAATTGAAATATTTCCATAATATACTAATCCTTTCTAAAAATACTCATATGCATATTTGTGTTTGGGATGCCTATTAATTTATACTTTTTTCACATCTATTTTTATTTACACAAATGCAAGCAGCTCTTGTCTAAATTGGGAGACAGGCCTCACACTTGGCTCAGACCAAGGAAAATTTGCTACAGGGGATAGAAAAGCCAGATGCCCCTCTGGAAAGAACAGGCCCACAAAGAATGGAAATGGGCCTCTCCCAACAACTTCCCAAACTCTGTAGAAGTGATGTGTGGTTTTTATGCCCCTATGTCAACTGCCCATTTAAGCAAAACATCTAAATTCCTACCTCCTTCCCTGTTTTAATTAGAAAATGAAAAAGTGGGCTCTTCTTGCAAAGCTGTGGTTTCCTCACACCCTGGTGTCTCTGTTTCTTCCCTGCCCAGTACCCCCATGAAGTGAATGGGACCCCAATGTATCTCTATGAAGTGGCCACAGAGTCAGTGTGTGAATCAGCTGCCAGGCTTCTGTTCATGAGCATCAAGTGGGCTAAGAGTGTACCAGCTTTCTCCACCCTGTCTTTGCAAGACCAGGTATGACCACGAGGGCCCTGAGGTCCTGAGGGGAGGAAGTTAGGAAGGAGCAACAAGAGTCAGCCTTATGAGACTATAGGTTACCTAAATCGCCAAGGTCAGGCATCAGTTCCTAACAGCAATGAGGAAACTATTTTTACTAGCTTTCTTCTACAGGTTCAAAATGTTTAGCTATGGAATCCTTACTAAGAAATGCAATTATGTTATTTCAGGAAAGTTGGATTTGGTCTATGAAAAACAAACAAGGACATTATTATTATTATTTTTTTTTTAGTATAATTGAAACATCAAATTTAGTCACAAATTTTTAATGATTTTTTAAATTGTTAATAAAACAATGTTTCCTCAGAACACTGGAACTGAGGAAATAGAAGAGTATTCTTCTGTAAGATTTTTGGAGCTAGTCTCATTATTTTATGTTTACAGCTTTATATTTTCCATTGTGATACAGTTTTGGCCACTAATTTATCAGCATGTAGGATTAAGGGGTGCACTGCACACCTCCTGCAGGCTCAGTTCTCCCTTGATTCTTTAAGTGATTTTGTAAACACATAGGCACTGTGCATAATTCTGTGGTTGTAAATGACATTCTGAGTCAGTAAAAGTTTGTGCTGCTAAAAACTGCATGGTGCCAAACCCCAGAAATTTTATTGTTAGGAGCATCAGAAATGGCCTCTGCCAGGATTTTTCTAAACTGAAGGGAAAGGAAGAGAATGAAGTGTTCGCGACCACTGGCTGTTATCATAGCTTTATGGGCATTAATGACACATTTCCCCAAAGGCTAATAAGTAGTTCTAAAAGCAAAGGAGTTATTTCTTTAATTCACTTTATACCTAATTAAAGAATAATAGTGCCCCTTAATATGAAGCACATTTCCTACAGAGAGACCTGGCAGTGTGCTAAAAACATCTAATCTTCTAGCATGGAATGTTCTTTTTTTCATGACTTGGACTTTCAGACATGGCCAGAACTAGACACTATTTCCCTTGCAATTTAAAAATTATTCTGCTTTGTACTTGATGCAATAAAACTAAAAATAAAGCATTTTGAAAATTAAACCTTTTGGTTTTACAAACCTTCACAGTTTAGCTCTTAGCGTCCAAAAGAAAATCCTTTCACATAAGTCATCCAGAATTGGCTGGATTTTAAAAGATTTTTCAAAATAATTTTTCAAGATGGTTAGGTTTACTGGTCATTTGCTGTGGTGTGTGTGTGTGTGTGTGTGTGTGTGTGTGTGTAAATTAGCTATTTTTTTCCTCAAAGTAAGTATTTGTAGACTCTTTAATTCAAACAAAATTTATTTACTGTCTGCCACTCAGCCCTTCGGTGGAAACCCTTCAACAACTAGCAAACTGCAGTTAAGTGGAATCCAGTATACTCATTGGGAAAAGGAGCCAGATTTTCATTTTAAATATTCACTAGCACATTTTATTAGAATGAAAATGACAAGCACCTTGATGCTGTCCACTTATGAGTCTCAGAAAAATCAGGCAGTGAGATGAGGTAAACTTGGCAAAGCCCGATTAACATAATTACACCCTGATTTCCCTGCATGCCTCTTGGGAATTAGTGAGATCTCTCTCTCTCTCTCTCTCTCTCTCTCTCTCTCTCTCTCTCTCTCTC